GGGAAAGAGGTCTTCATATCCTAAACTGACTAGTCGTTAGATATGGGCTGTCCCCGCCCCCTCTCCCCTCCCCCACCTCCCCAAGGGACCATGACTTTGGGCAAAGCAGTTTTCTTCAGCTGAGGGCAAGTTTTGAAGAGTGATGTAACTGAGAACTGTTGAGAGCGATACTCCAAGTAGATCCGGGAACATGTCCTTCAGTCCTGAAAGTTCTGAACAGAGAATCACAGCATCCACTAAAAGATGTTTAGTGGGGCCTCTCCTCTTGTCCCAGAACGAGCACTAAGCTCATGGCTGAAAACAACATAGTACCCCATCTTCTAACAAAAGATGCCACAATCGGAGACAGAGACTTTCCCCACGGATTAATAAAAGCTGCAGATCTAGCCCTGCTTCCACGGAATACTTTCTCAGTCCTCTCCTTCTCAGTCTATATCGGAAGGCAGGCGAAGGAATGAAAGGAGGTAGCTGGCCTTGGGGAGTGTTTCTGGTGGGAAGTGAATGTAGTGGGGAGGCTGTACGATAATCTCTCCGCTATCAGTAGGGCCTACTGGAAGGAGAGGCTGGTGTTCCATTTCCTACCTGCAAACCTGTCTAGTCAGCATCCTTGTTGATTTACTTCTGTCTGTGTTTCAGGAGGGAGGAAGAGGATGGAAGAGAGATGGCAAAGTGGAGAGCAGAGGCCACGGGCAGCCTCCAGTCTGGCCCTTTTGTGTGGCAAGGGCGCGTGTTTCTCAAGAGTCAGGTGGACTCTGTGGAAGATAGATCGTCTCCAGCTTTCTTGCTGGACCCTCACCCACAAGATTTGGTATACTGCTGGGTGCTGTCAGTGGGGTGATGGAAAAGATCGAGCTGAAGGGAGATCTTCCATGAAAACATATGGAGAGGACAAGGCCCATCAGGTCTTCCCATATGTACCCCATGAAAGGAGTTTCAAACAAGAGCCTGTTATCCAGAGAAGCAGGGATCAACTAAGATAGAACTCTAGCAGTGGCCAATTTAGAGAAACTCGCCTCAACACAGAAGCCAGGCCTTCAAGAGGATGTTGAGGAAGAGTGTCTGAGAACCAGAACCATGACTTGTACCTTAGCACCCTAAGAATCTAGGATCCCACTCAAGCCACGAGGTCAACCCACTAACAGGGTCCGATTTTTAGTAACTGAACCGACCAGAAAGTATTGCCTAAGGTGTGGTTAAGGGATAGAAAAGATTCAAAAGAACAGCGATCAGAGAAAAAATGGACTGTTCTTATGTTTGGAAGCCATCACACGGAGAGGGTCCAACAAACTGTTTACACTGATAACTGCCGGAACTAAAGCTCGCTGCAGTGCACCAGCATTCCAGAAAGATTGTGTACAACCTACATAGATGAGTGAAATATAGCACACTTGTCCTCAACGAACAAGAAATGTTCTGCTACAAAATAAGTATAAAGCAGGTTTGCTGAAGCAAATAAGTCTGGAATGTGGATCCTTTTAAGGTGTTTCTTTTCCTGTTTCCCTGCTTTGTCTACTGAGACTGACATTTTACCATTTGGAAATGATGGGTGAGTCTGGTGGAAAGGGATCCACGTCTTGAATTGCAAATAGACTAGACAGTGATTATTAAGTCCCTAATGAATTGTTTTAGAATTGCTGTGTGAGTTGTCAGGAAGGTATCTAAGACCAAGACGAAGCCCCGAGGGCACAGAGGAGCTGAAAACTGAATATTGGGAAACACCAATGTATCAACCTTCAAAAGCAATTGTAGCTATTGCACCATCACTGTTGTCCTGTAAAGTACCTTACATTCCCAAGAGAGAGGCACTCGTGATACTAATTCAGAATAGTTTTACGGAAAAATTCTCATGTAATCCTAAAAGTAACGCACTTAAAAAAACAAATAGCAGAATCAAAGAATTTTAAATAAACAAAAAGCACTGTATTAAGTCAGCTACCAAAACAATGAAAATTTACCTCTCTGCTTATTAGAAAAGCTCTTGTTTAAAACACTGACAAGGGATTTTATTTCAACCAACGTAGTATGTTGCCTAGCACCGTACCGCTGCCCAGTCTGGAGGCAATCCTCCCACAGAGCAATGTACTCCTTGTGTCTAGTCAGCTCTTGCTGGGAAAAAAAAGATTAGACAGGACCGTTTCTGCTTTTAGGTTTTCATTTCCATGCACTGTCAGGACCCAGGGCCTGCGAGCCGCGCCTCCCCACATTCTGCGAACCCTGTTCCAGGGTGCGCGCCGAGGGAGTACCCACAAGCCCCCGCGGCCCTGCGAGGCTGGGCGAGGTCACCCGCGCTCCCCGAGACCTTGGCCCCCGGTTCGGCGGCGGGGGCGGGGGCGGGACGGCCGAGAATCAATAATTAATAACCTTTCAAATAAAAAAGACCAGGCCCACATGGATTAATCAGTGAATTCTACCAAACAGGGGCGGGGGCGGGGGCGGGACGGCGGAGGCGCCCGCCAATCCACGTTTTGCAGGCAGGGAGCGCGGGGCCTCGGAACGGGCAGGGAGAACTGCCTAGCCGAGGACGGACACAAGGCCTCCGTCTTCAGAGCCCCCGAAAGAAAGCGAGGGAGGACGAGAGACGACAAGAGGAAGGGACTGGAAAGCAAGTCAGCCCCCAGTTATCACCGCCTTAAAGCCAACTCAACAGCGCAACGCCTCCTCGCACCGCACAGCCTAACGGGAGCCTCAGCCTCTAAGTACTGGCTACGCCCGCAACGCGTCCCTGGCACCGCCCTCTGCCGCGGGGCACGCCGGGAGAGCCGAGTTTCCCCCTTCCTCTAGTAAACGGGAGAGACGAAGGGTATTTCCGGTGTTAACGACTATCTTTACGGAAGAGGTGGGGTTAATCCTGTCCCGCCCCTCCTGGCCGGCGGGGCGAAGACTGACAGTCTTCGGCAAGCGCTAAGGCCCGCCCCTGCACCGGAAGGAGGAAGGCGGGGGAATGGAACAGGCGTCAGGCGCTGTGTCACGTGTCGCAACTGCTGGTGGAGAGAAGAAAAGGGCGGGACCCCGGAAGGAGGGGTGGGGTGCCCTCCTTTCCCTTGGGTCACGCGCGGCAGGAAGTGGTTCCCGAAACGGAGTATTCGAGATGGCGACTGCCCTGGACATTAAGGTTAAAAGAGCGAACAAGGTTTATCACGCCGGGGTAAGTAGGGGTGGGTGTGCCTGCAGGTTCTGTTGTCTCCCAGGTCCCGTATACTTCTGGGTTTTCCTGGGCGGGGCAAGGCGCACCTCCAGGTAAGTCCCGGTCAGGTGCGGACCAGCCAGGTGCATCCCTGCCAGGTGCGTCTCGCTTGCGCGGCTGGCTGCTCTAAGAGCGACCCCCGCCGGAGTCGCCGCCGGGGTTGGGGAGGCATGCAGGGCCGAGAGGCTGGCCCAAGGGCTGCAGCGCTAACCGTCGGGCCACATGAACTTCCAGCTCGGCCTTGGGCTCCCGGGCTTGAGCTGTCGCCAAGAGCACTGAGGGGGGAGGAGCTTGATGACCAAACACCCCGTTCCTCACTTCTAAGTTGAGTGTGAAGGTCTAAGGACAGAAAGGCAGAATTAACCTTGGAAGCAGAAATACGCACTTTAGGCCGTGCTCAGCTTTAACACCATACAAAAGTTATTCATTTCTCTGGTTTTGTTGTTTTAATAACATACACAAGGAATAGCATATTAAAATGCAAGTCAGAAAAAATCTTAATTATGCCATTAACAAGTTTTGGGCCACTGGCTACTTAACCTCTTAGGGCATCAGTTTCCTTATTTGCCAAATGAGGTTGCAAGGTTCCTCTACCTCTAACTCGGGGAATCTCAACCCTTGCTGTACATCAGAATCCATCACTCAGGGGAATTTAAAAGTACGCTAACTGGGGTCTCACACCCAGAGACACCAGTGATTCTGATGTGCAGCCAGGGTTGAAATCACAGCCAGCTCTCACACTCTGTGGAATAAAATTGAGAGTAGTGGTTGGTCACGTGAATGTAGGGAGGTCTCAAAAGGGACGCTAAAGCCTTTCGGTGCAAGATATTTGTGGAAACCTAATATTTACAGATTCAATTGGTCATCTCCAGATTATTAATTACAGAGGGGAAAAGTTACCTTTATAGTGGAGGAATCTGCTAGTCACCATCCTAACCAAGACCAACAATGAATACCACCTTTCCATCACTGTCACCACTAATGAGATTGACATGTTCTGGCATAACAATAGAGGGTTCTGGCATGAAAAACTGAGGAGGATACAACTCACCTATGTAGCCTTCCTGCCAAAAATGCTTAACTTCCCTCAGTTCTTAAGGAAACAGGCATATTCATATTGAGAAACATCCTGTACAGTAATTGGCCTGGATTCTTCAAATATGTTAGTGTCATTAAAAAGAATTTTTTTAGATTCAAGAGATGAAAGGGATTTGAAAACCAAATACAGTACCTAATGTTTGATAAATTTGAATATGGGCTATATGTTAAATACAAGTTTTGTTTTGGTGTTAATTTTCCCCAGTATGATATTCATATTTTGGTTATGTGAGAGAATACTCCACATACTGAAGTGCTTAGGAGTGAAGTGTCACAATAACTAAATTTTAAATGGTCCAGCCATATTGTGTGTGTGCGCACATATGAGGAAAAAGAAAGCAAATGTGCCAAAATATTAACAACTGGTGACTCTAGTTGAAAGTTATATGGGTCTACTTTGTATTCTTTATTGAGACCTAATACCATAAAAATACACTTTTTCAGGTGTACAATTCAGTGGTTGTAATATATTCAGGGTTGTGCAACCATCACCACCATCTAATTTTAGAACATTTTTATCACCCCCAAAAGAAACCCTGTACCCGTGAGTAGTCATTCCTCATTCCCTCTCCCTCTTAGCGCCTGGCAATCACATATCTACTTTCCGTCTCAGTGGATTTGCCTAATTAGGACATTTCATGTATATGGGATCATACATTGTGTGGCCTTTTGTGATTGGCTTCTTTCACTTACATAATGTGTTCAATGTTCATGCATGTTGGAGCATGTATCAGTTCCTCATTTGTTTTAATGGCTGAATAGTATCAGTTCCTCATTTGTTTTAATGGCTGAATAGTAATCTGTTTTATGGATATGTCACATTTTATGTATCCATTCATCTGTCGATGGACATTTGGATTGTTTTAACTTTTTGACTATCATGAATAATGCTACTATGAACATTCTAGTATAAGTTTTTGTGTGAACATATGTTTGCATTTCTCTTGGATATATCCCTAGGAGTGGATTTGCTGGGTGATATGGTAACTCAGTTTTTTGAAGACCTACCAAACTGTTTTCCAAAGCACCTGCACAACTCCACACTCCACTAGCGGTGTGTGAGAGTTCCAATTTTTCCTCTACTTTATATTCTCATAACTTTTTTGTAGCTTGGAAAATATCAAAATAAGAATTGGGGGAGGCAGTGACAGGTGATATATACACTTAACTTTAATACTTATTATTTTCATTCAGAAGTTAGCAGATTCCATTCAAAGATGTTATAGCAGCTGAGATGCTGACCCGTTTTCTGTGGTTTAAAATATGGTATCAGTAATGAGAAGTACATTTGAAAAAGTTGAAGAGATGGAATCATCCATTTGACCCAGCTGGAAGTCTTAATGCAGCCAGGACCACTCCTTGTGGGTAGCAGGGTGGAAGCAGGTATTAGCTCTGCTCATCCGGTGCACATCCCTTCATGCCAGGATTAGGAACAGAATCTGCACCTGTTGGCTTATGACAGTGTTTCCCAGTCTTCACTTTGACACTTAATGTATTTTACACTAAATGCATTTTAAAAGGAGACCTCATATGGCCATTGTGAAAGAAAACCCTGTGTAACTTCTCCTAAATAGAGGGTTGCTGTGTACGGTTGACCCTTAAACAATGCAAGGGTTAGAGGTGCCAATCCCACGTGCAGTTGAAAATCTGTTTCACTTTTGAGTCCCCCCAAACTTGACTACCAATAGACTACTGCTGACCCGAAGCCTTACCAATAACATACACTGTTAACACATATTTTGTGTTATATGTATCATATACTGTATGCTTACAATGAAGTAAGCTAGAGGAAAGGAAATGTTATTTAGAAAATTGTAAGGAAGAAAAAATAACATTTACAGAGCATTGTAGTGTATTTATCAATACCATAGTTTGTCTCTTTACAAGGTGACTCGTCTGTCAGTACCTACATCAGTATTGTCTTATATGATACAAAACACTGTAGATGCTATGTGTATTACTAACACTAGACATCAAAAATCAAGAGATAATGTGAAAAATAAATTCATATTTATTTACAGGTGTAACAATTCATGCCCTGATAATGCATAAGCGACAGTATGATTGCTTTGTGGTAGCCTAGCCTATACACCGATGTCACATTCGTGACATACCTAACTTTTTCTTAATTTTTTCCATGTTTCTAGGCTATATGGTTTTTCTTGTGAGTTTTTTTCAAATCGTCACAAATCTCAAAAACTTTTTCCAGTATATTTATTGAAAAAAATCCACCGTGAGCCCACGCATGTTGTCCAAGGGTCAACTGTATATTTTTTAAAGCCAAAAAAAGTTATTAAATGAATAAATCTAATCACTGGACAAAAATATACACCTGGAAACACATGCTGTGACTCATGTGTTGGATGGACTCCGTCATCTGTGGTTAAGGATGGGTAGAGGAGGCAACCAGCACCATCAGGGCTGCTCCCAGAGCTCCAGGGAGAAGGACCCTCCGAGGTCTCAGTGCCTGCAGACAGCGCGTGTCTCAAGCCCAGTTTGCCCCATGGTTGTACAAGGGGGGGGTCCTGTCTTTCTCACCCTCTCCACTCTTAGCTGGCGGCAGGTGGGAATAATAAATACAAATTTCTAGTCTTCTCAGTACAGCTCAACAGCATTGGTAAAGATTCGGTTGCTATAAACCGTACTCATCCATGCGCCTGCCAGAGCACAGCACCTGTAATTGTCCTGGTTTGCTCGAGGTGGCTGCCACCTGTGTTCTCAGGTTTTAAGTGCTTGTCATTCAAGTGAAACATACTTGTCTATGTAACGACGGTCTTATGTTCCACCTGAGGGACTCGGGAAACACTGGTGTAGGGTTTTGTGAGCCTGGCAGCATCACTCCCATTTTACTAACGAGGAAACTGAGGCCTAGACAAGTTAAGGAATTTGCCCCAGATCACCCAGCTAATGACAGCCTGGATTCCAATGCAGGTCATCAGATTGCAAAGTGTGTCCAGCCAACACTCTTATTACACCTTCTCCCTAAGAGCGCCCCTTTTTGTGCAAAATGGAGGAGCTTTTTACATAGGAATAGTAGTTATTAGTTTCCTAGGAGTGCTGTGAATAGCACTGTAATATTTCAGTTAAAAAGCTGTTGTGACGACTCCTCGGAACGTGTGCAGCCAAGTCTGTTCCTGTGCTTTTCAGTATCTTAGTTGTTGTGGAAGCATTTGAAAATGGTTTTGATTCAGAGAACCTAAGTTATTCTTGGGTTTAAAATTGTCATTTGGCTTTTTCCTAGAAAAAGACGCTCATTCAAAGTGGTGGTGTTTTTTAAAAAATCACAGTTGAATAATTTTAAAAAATATAAACATAACATTTTACAGAAGGCTGGAAAGTGAAAAGTCAAGTTCTTCCTCTTTCGACCCCTTTTTCTGTCCCTGGATGTATCCGCTGACAGTTTATGTACTATTCCAGACATTTCCTATGAGTAATAGTTGCACGTGTACGCAGACACGCACGCAGACATACACAAAACTTGTTTTTTTTGCTGAACGGTATATCCTTACCTTGGATACCTTTCCATATCACCACATCTTCAGCAACTCATTCTTTTCAGACTGTTACTGAATCGAAACAGTTTTATTCAACCAGTGTCTGTGAATCTTCTTACAGGTCTGGAGAGAAGTAGGTAAAGAGAAAACAAAAGGTGCTAACGTACTTGTGCTGGAATGGGTGCATCTCTGGTGTGTGAGGGAGCTCAGAGGAAGGTGTAGTCGTTTGGGGGTGGGGGAGGGCCCTTCTGGAGCTTCACTGAGGCAATGATGCTCCAGCCTACTTCTGAAAGCTGTGTGCGGGGCCAGGGTCTCCCTCCCCACCTGGCACTGTGTGTTTCCATCAGAAGGAACAGACAGTGCGAGCAC